ATCTATACATGCTTCAAGTTAGTGCCACATGAACTACTCTTGATCTTCTAATGCACAATTGAATCAATAAATTGAATCGAAAAAAAAAAAACTAAATGCTCTATCTAAAATCCTTTCAGCTCCCCCTAGTTACGTGATACATAAATTGACTGCTAAGATAAATCCGTCAATTATATTATTGATAGCATAAGTTGTGTTCAACATGCCATGATGTTACACTGCTAATATACTATATGTTGTTATGGACGAAATCATCACATAAGAAATTCTATAAAGAATAATCATACAAAATTAATACGATATGATCAAAATATGATAGCTCATAAAACATGCACTTGGGGACAAACATGAGAATCACATATTTGTTTCACATGATTAACCATTCTATAAAACACAAATATGTAACAAGGAAAAAAAAATTCTCCTAGATAAGGGCAAGGATAAACATTGTGAAAAAGGATTAATGCCACATAATTCCAGTGAGTTCACATATCTAAGACCTACATTTCAATATTTACATTTATACCATTTTATTATACATAACATATATATTTCCCTCTCTAAATGCCAATGAAAATGATATTTTAAATGATTAAAATTTTTTTTTAAAGTAGATATAATAAAATAAATCATTATAATCATTCAAATTAAAGTGCATGGTCGGAACCCCCTTTAAAAAGAGTGATGTCATGAAAGTACAGTAGGTTTGATTATTTTTAATAAATATGTTGGTTACTGATCAAATTTACAGACCAAAGCATGCTAAAAATAAAAAATCATTTTGATATTAAACAAAATAAAAAATAAAAGAATGATGCTTTAAATCGTATGTACTTATCTCCAGTCTGCAGGAGTCCAAGAAAGTGATCACTCTTTCAGTTCACATGACTCTCTCTCTCTCTCTCTCTCTCTAGACCGGCGTGGAAAAAATATGATTATTTACATAAATACCATCAAATTTTATTTATGTGAATATCTATAAGTTTTTTAATAAATAAGATGATATAAATATGCAAAAACTGAAGTTTAGATGATAGATGTGTAAAACATAGGAATTAAGCGGTATGTTTGTAATTTTCCTATGTTTTAAAAATATACTTATATAAAAAAAGTGTTTTATAAAATAAGTGTTTTAAATAAATTAAAGAAATTTAAGGCCTCTTTATTTATTGAGAACTTAATTTTTTATGGAGAAAAAGAGATTTATTTTTTTCAAAAAAAAAAAAAAAAAAAAAATAGGTAATTAAGGCCTTTAATTCTTATGTGTTTGCACATATAACACTTACAATTTTATTTTTTATATTTATAAAATTCAAATATTTCATATCTCATTTTAACTTTTAAAATATGAAATACAAAGGTAGGGTGGTATGTATGCAAAAGTAGTTCCGAGTTTGGGTGTTAGAAATGTAAATACATAGAAATTGGGATGTACGAATGTAAATCTTTCTAAAATTAAAAAAAAAAAAAAAACTTAAATCAAGTAAAAAAATCAAAAGTTGTCAATTGTTGACCAAATGAATGCAAGATGCAGTTCTCTCATTTCAGTCCTTTTTTAACTAAAAATTCATAATCATATTTATGACTATATTTTATATGAATTTAAATCCTTATTTTCTGAATTTTTATCCACTGAAATGAAAAAGTAAAGGACATTCAATCTCTCTAGCCAATCTCTCACTACTCTCTCTTTCTATCTCTAGCCATTGGAACATGTGAGTTCTGAGTTACAGAACCCAAAGTGAAAACTTTACATGTAGTGCCAAATGTTTCCTGATATTGACACCGCCATCATGAGTCTATATGCTTATTTATATATGTTTTTACTCTCCCCATCCATTCATGCAAACCCTAAACATAAAAATATAAACCCTAAGATATACCTCTTATAGAACCCTCTTCATGTAGAGTTGGGTACACAAACAAGCCCTTTTCTATAGTGTAATCATCTCCTAGCTCTTCTCCACATCACAGATCACAAAAGATTGCCTAAAGATATCAAAAAAAGATATGGCTGCGCCTTCTCTCTCTCTCTCCTCTCTCTCTCTCTCTCTCTATTTTTATTAAAATAATCTCAAAATTTTATAAATATATTTATTTTATGGATTATAAATTTTATCATATGGTAAAGTTTATCATTTTATATTATGAAAACTTATGTAGTTATGTTTTGTAAGAAATTATTTTAGTTTCTTTCTGATATGAGCGAATTTGATGGTATTAAGATGATATTCAGCACAATACTATCATAGTATCATTAAATTGTGTATAATATTTTCTTGTATCACTGACTCATTGTTAAAGTAAATATGATTTATTCTAAAAAAATTAAAATTGAAAAATATAATAAAATAATTTTTTATTTTTAACTATTAAAAATGTGAAGGTAAGTCTCTGAAAATGAGTAGCAGAGGACAGTCCAATCCCTCCCATTTCTTAACAAATGAGTGACGTGGGGAAGGGAAGACTTGAACGCCCTTCTCTTCCCTTCTGCATGCTCTTCTCTCTCTCTCTCTATCTCTATATCTAGCCAATCTCTTCTCTTTTATTCACTCTCTATCTCTTCTTTCTCTCTCTATCTCA